TAGGTGAGCCTCTCTGCTCAGACGCTGAGGCCTGCCCCCCAGAAAAGTGCCCTGGCTTCAGCCTCCTGGTGGCCGGCGGAGGCCTTGCAGGAATCCTAACCAAGGGCGGGGCTTGCTCTGAGAGGAAGTGTTGAAGGCTGATGGCTTGCAGTCCCAGTCACAGGCCGACTCCTTTCCGACAGACAGTGGCGCTGAAGCAACTAAGGCACACCCTGAATTCTGACGTGGGCCCTGGAGTTCCCCGACCAGGCTAAAGGAAGTGAGCAGTGCCCTAGCTGGTGTGGCTCAGTGGACAGAGTGTTGGCCTGCGGACTGACGGGTCCCCGGTTCGATATCGGGTTGCGGGCTCAATCCCCAGTGAGGGGTGTGCAGGAGGCAGCCGGTCAATGATTCTCTTTCATTGATGTTTCTATCTCCCTCTCCCTTCCTCTCTGAAATCAATAAAAATACATTTTTTTTAAAAGAAGTGAGCAGAAAGGACCAGATGAAGAAAGGGCAGCTCCAGACAAGGGTTTCGAGGGAGAAGTCCCCAAGCTTCTGAGAAGCAGAACCCAGCGCTATCATGGCCAGTGCACAGGCCCTTTGGGCACCCAAAGGTTTGATCACATGTCTGGTGTTCACAAGCAAAACAACTGCCACAACCCTGCTGGCCCAGCCCCGAGTGCCTGTAAGGGGCTGGCTGCCCAGAGGCCTGGCCCTGTGGGTGAGGAGGGATCGGAGTGAGGCTGGGGGAAAGGAAGCCGGAGTTATGAGAGTCTCCGTGTGCTCAGTCCGCAGTAGTGGGCAGTGGGCTCTGCAATAAGACGAGTGCCTTCCCAAGCATCAAACCTCCGTGTCAGGTGCACCAAGGTGACTCGTGGCCCAGCAAGACTTGCTTCCACTGCAAGACTGGTCCTCTCAGGAGGGCAGGGTTTTTACGGTTTTACCTTTGGGGCCCTAAAAGGCTTGTAGGTCCTCAGAAATAGGAGCTGAAGATGGAACCTGTCTTCAAGGAGCTCACACTTGGCCCGGAAGTTACCTGGTACACGCTCAGCTGAGGGCAGACCAGCCTCCCCCAGCTGCATCCAGGGCCAGGAGGAGGGAGCCTGGGAGGGGGCCTGGCCCTGGCGAGCTCCCCGGGGGATGGAGCCTTGGTTTTTTGTTCCCTCGGTATCCTCAGCCCCTAGGATTGTCCTGGCATGTTGGCTGGGGGACAGGTCCCCCCTGTGCTTTGGGCGGCGGGTGGAGTGCAGTGGAGTTGGAGGCAGGAAGCTGATATGTGTGCTGTCGGAGGTTGGCTCCACTAGCTTCTTCCTTGAGCTCAGATCGGGCCTCAGTTTACTCCGCTCTAAGACGGGAGCAAGTGGCCCTGCCTTGCTCTGGTCCCAGGTCTGTCGGGAAGCCTCAGTGAGAGAAAGTGGCAAAAATGCCGGAAACCTCGGCTTCCCGGGCCCAGCCTGGCTCCCCATCGCGGCCCACCCGGCAGTCTTCCCTTCGCGCCTGGGGCCGCGCCGTCTTGGTGCCCTCCCCAGCCTCTCCGGATGCGGGAGGCAGGAAGGGGACGGGGCGCCCCGACTGCTCATTGTTCTTGAGTATGATGAGAGTTATCATCCTTTTAAAGCGAGTTAGAATCAGGAAAACTCAGAGAAATGCGTTGAGTTCTACTTCCCCTC